TCGCCTGGCGCCCGCCCGAGCCGGGCCGCGGGCTCGCGCGGCAGCGCGGCTGGACAAGTCTGCGCACAGGTGCTCCGCCACGGTGATGCCGCACTGGCCGAAGAAGGCGGTGAAGCTTATCCTGCTCATGTTTGCCATCAGGACCATGAATCCTATGATGCAGACGAGTTCGTCGTGCAGGATGGGGTGCTGGCTCCATGTGGCCTGCCAGATGCTAGCGTCGTGCTGAGAGACTCTCCCAGAGTTGCGCGCCTCATCCTGTAAGCTGAGGAACTGACCCGTCTCCTTATAGTGCTCAAACCTTCGGCCTTCATCGATCTGAAGGGCCGGAAAATTCTGCCCAGGCATTTGCAAGCGAAGTATCGTCTGCATGATGGTCTCATTCTTCACTGGGTAGTAGATTCGGTGAACGATGAACATGGCAAGGTCTGAAAACAAAGACATGAGGACGAAGATAGGGAAGGATATCCAGAAGAGGGGACGCTGGGCAAAAGGTACTCCAGTGGCTAAACACCACACGCCGATAAAAAGGAAAGACGGCAAAACCGTGAAATCGACGAAGTAGCCAGATCGGATGAACACATCCCGCTCAGCATCGATGACGCATGGGAACTTACCTCCAGTCACCACGCTCACAAAACGCCCACTTAGGACAGCCCTTTTCCAAATATCTCCGGCGGTAGCAACTGAAACCGTGACAGCCATTTGCTTGAGACCAGCCTCGATGTCGTCATATTTTGCGGCTTCCACCAAGCCCGAAAGCTGCAGAATCTGAGTCGTACCGACAACCACGCAGACATACAGGGAGAAGACGACGTTCGGAACACCCTCGGTGTCACAATGATTCAAGATCCAACACATTGTGGTGAATCCCCCGCCGGAGTACACGGCCGCGGCAGCTGGCAAGACGAGGCCTGCTGCGGCGCCTTCCAGACCAAAGACCTCGACGATCTTGTGGTGGTATGTAAGGATCATGACAATGGCAGCTTGGACGAACACGAGCCACACGACGAACGCCAGCATGAAGCAACGTTTTTTCACCCACTTGAGCACCAAGGGGGTCCATACCACCAGTCCCACCACCAGTCCTATGGTCCCCGTCCTCTTCATGTACCACGCCGCCGACGACAGTATAGAGAACAGCACGCCGCCGAAGATTGTGGCCCACCTCGGCGCGATGCCAGTCATGGACACGACCACTGCGTACCAAGGCCTGCTCGGAAAGATCGCCACGCAATACGTCAAGATGAAACCGAGCCAAGATATATTCGGGATAACGGTGTTGACCATATAGAACGTGTTCTGCACGCAGATGATTGCCATGGTGTACGGGTGGAAGAACCACTTCAGGGTAATGGAGTACTCCCTCCACTCAACCTGCGCCAGGCCACTCTTTCGGCTCCCCTGCGGGCCCTCTCGGTCTACGGCCGGCGTCGTGGCTGGCTCGTCGTCCAGCCTGGGCGACTTCTCCGCAGCATTGCCCCCGTCCTGATTCACGGCGTCGGGCGGCTTCTGGTCGGACTCCACGGAGGACCGCGCGACCTGCTGTGTGCAGGAACCCAACTGGCTGCCCATTGCTGTGCTGCGGGTGGATCCTGATACGAGTTCTGACTGTGCCAGCGTGTCTTGAGTCAGCACGGCTGCATATGACAACATGCACCCGCTTTGGGGCACTCACGCTGCCAGCCCATACCGAGTTGGCTGCCACTAGGGAAGTACGTACATAGAGTGACATAGGATCTTGCTTGACAGCGAAGGCGAGGGTTCGACATTCTACTCTCTGAATTTATGCTTTCCCTATGCGCTTTCCATCCTTGAGGCCGGGAGGGGACACGCTAGGGATGCTCTGTCTGCAGGGCACGACTCAACACTCTGACATGCTGACTGTTCAATGCGTGTTCTCTGGCTCTCTCGGTCTTTTCCTCGGAGCAAACTGTTCATCCCCATCCATTGTCTTGACGGTCGCAGGGTCCGAAACATGCTTTTGTGAAGGCAATGTCTGGGGAGGAGGAAACGGAGGAGGAAACGGAGAAGGAGGAGGAGAAGGAGGAGGAGGAGAAGGAGATGGTGGGGGGAAGTCTCAACCGCCCACCCTCCTACCCCCTGCCTTCCTTGCCGACCCCGCCCAGCTGGTATATAGATGTATGTGTATTGTATACATGTCTATATGTATTAGAACCACGCGCGCGCTTCGCGCGAACTTCGGTTCTAGCCGCGCACAGAGAACCCTCATTGCAAGTTGCGAATGAGGAGTGCACGAGCTTCGCGGGTGGCAGAGGCACCTCAACGAACTATCGAGATCACGGCGACGTGTCGGGGAGTTTTGGGCCTTCTTCGACGCTTCTTGCGCTTCCCTGGATCCACCCGAGGACCAGAGGAGGAGGAGCTTAGCAACGAAGGACTGTGCCCAAGTCTAGCTCCGAAGTGCACGCCGCCACGGAGTATCGAAAGCCGCCCCCTCTCTTCCTGACTACCTACCAGACCACCCCAACCCAACCCG